CAGTGAGGGTCTGCAGACCCCATGGAGGAAGACCCTGGGATGGGGGGCACAGAGAAGCAGCTTGTAGTGCCCCCGTCCCCACCCCCGAGCACAGCAGATAGTGTGATGGCCATGGGCTCCACCTCCCCCAAGCCTCCTAGGAGGTGACCTCTGCTGAGTGCCTCCAGGAAGCTGCAGGCTGCGCTCACCTCAGGCGGTGAATGCTGAGTGCCCACCCGGGCACCTTGCTCCTCTGTGTCCCACACAGGTCCAGCAGGGGACCTGGAGCAGGTGCTTTCTAATCATCTGTAGAACCCACCCAAAGTGACTCTAGGCAGGACCCAAAGAGACCCACAGGATGTTGCCACAAAGCCCGCGGGCCCCGGCCTGGCCCTGCCCACCCCTGCAGCTCACCCCATGTCCTGTCCCTGGCTCTTCTCCCTGTGCTCAGACACAGGGCACGGATGAGCCCCTGGGCCAGGCACCCCAGGGAGGGCTGGGGGCCAGGCACCCCAGGATGGGCAGACCTGTGGGTGGCAGGGCCTTGTTAGGGCTAAAGGGCCGTGACAAGGGGGATCTCAGGGGCTGTGGGACTGAGGCCCCAAGGTCACCAAGGTCACATGGCCTCTGCTGCCCGAGCCCCCACTCCCGCTGGCCACCCCCACCCCATGGAAAGCTCCTTCAGGTGGAGTTCAGGGACAGCCATAGGAGGGTGGCCTGGGTCTGACTTCTGCAGACACCTAAGCCCTGTCCTGTCAAGCAGGGGTAATGACCCCAGCAGGTGTGAGGCCAGGCCAGAGCAGCTGGGCCCGCGGGCGAGCACACCAGGCGCCCTAACCCGCGGGAAGAATAGCCCCACGGCAGATGGAGAGGCCCAGGGGGCAGCAGCCTCAGCCCTGTGTACGCCATCGCAGGTCTTGCACATGGGCCACTGAGGTTGACAGCCTGCTGGGGACAAGCTGCTGGTGGCCCCGGGCAGTCCTGTCCCTCGGCTCCAGGCCCAGAGGTCATCAAGCCCCTGCCTTCTGCTGCCTGGAAATCAGCCTCAGAGCCATGGGCTACCCTGGGCTGCACTGAGGCCCGGAGGTGGCGTGGGCAGAGCGTGGGCCATCCTCCTGGAGAAGGCGCCCGCGCGGAGACCGTGTCTGGGAACCAGGCTGCCACTCACCCAGGCCTCAGGCCCCAGCGGCTCCTCTTCCTAGGGGTGCTAAGGAGGCCGTGAGCCTCTCCGGCTTGGCCCCAAACCCGGGCCCTGCTGGGCTCTGGCCATTAGCCGGCTGTTCTGATTTCGGAACTTTTTGTCTGGGCTCTCCCTGGGGCTGCGGAAAGCCCGAGGGTGCAGGTCCCCAGAGAGCAGGCTGGGAGCCCCCTCGGCCTTCTCCTAAGCTGCCTGCCCTCCCGCCGCCGCCCTTCCCGATTCCTGGGCCCACTGGCTTTTTTTTTTTTTTTTTTTTTTTTGGTACTAGGGATTGAACCTCAGGCGTTTAACAATGAGCCACAGCCCCACGTCCCCAGCCCTTTTCTTTTTAAAAACAAAAATATTTTACTTAGAGACAGGGTTCCGCTGAGTTGCTCAGTGCCTCCCTAAGTTGCTGATGCTGGCTTTGACCCTCCTGCTTCAGCCTCTGGAGCTGCCGGGCTGACAGGCATGTGCCACCCTACTTGGCCCTCCATCGGCCTCTTATTTTTTTGATATTTTTAGTTGTAGATGAACACAACACCTTTATTTTATTTATTTATTTTTATGCGGTGCTGAGGATCAAACCCAGTGCCTCCCGCATGCCAGGCGAGTGCTCCACCACTGAGCCACAACCCACCCAACAGCTCCCAGTTCCCTAAGCCAACTCCCTGTGTGCATAAGGGCCGGGCAAGCCCCAGGGAGTGGAGGCAGGTGCTCCTGGGCCCATCCCCCAGATCTGGCCCTGACCCCAGCTGCTCAGGCGGCTTCTTCTCTGGGTGCCCAGAAGCTGGTCTGCCCCGAGGAGGGGACCCCTAACCCCTGAGTCAACACCTCCCTGGCCTGGCAGCAGGGCTGCCACTGGAAGGCAGGTCTCAGGCCTCGCTGTCCAGCCCCTGACCAGGTCAGGCGCAGGGCCTGTGGGGGAGGATGTCCCTGTGCCACAGGCTGGTAAACCGGCAGCAGCGAGAGTTAGCCAGGCCCCTGAGCGGAGCTGCATGCCCCAGCCTTGGTAGCAAGCCCCCTACGCGGCCCAGGGCTGCTGGCTGAGGAAGTCTGGTCTGCAGCCCTGGGGCCTCCACCCCACTGGCCTGGGAGACAGAAGGGGGTGTGGAGGTGGCTCCGTCCCTGTGTCTGCCCCAGGGGGCCCAGCAGGAGAGGAGCCCCCGAGGCCAGCAGAGCCCAGGTCAGTGCCTGCACGAGAGGAAGCTGCGGAGGCCAGGAGCGTACCACCAGAGAGGACCAGAGGAGCTGGGGACACAGGTCGAGCTCAGGGGGCCGAGGGGGCAGGGCCCTGTGGAGCAGCGTGGAATAATCAGCCCGACCCTAAACACCACCGACACGCCTCGAGGCGACACCCGAGGGCTCATTTATCTCTAAGTGACTCCAGGACCTCAGGAATACTTGCAGGAGCCCAGAAACATCCAGCACTCCACAAGGTGAAGTCGGCAACATCGGGCATGGGATCAGAGGTCACCGCACTAGCCAAGAGTGCAAGCCACAAGGGAAGAAAAGCAAGCAAAGCCGGCCCAGGGATGAGGAGGAGAGGAGGGCGGCTGGAAAGAGGGGCCAGTGTAGGACACAGAGGGCTCGCTGCCCCGGGCCAGCGGGAGCTTGCAGGAGGTGCAGACACCTGGAGGCCTGGGGAGGGGCTCCTGGCCAGGACAGTCTCATGCCCCAGAGACCCCAGGAGAGCGGAGCACACCAGAGGCCCAGAGACCCCACAATGGCGGGGGCGGAACTTGAGGAAAACTGAAGACTTCAGATCCAAGGACCCTCGGGACCCCCAACCACGGGAACATGAGAAAGGAAGGAAACCTCGAAGGGGGTCATGGGGACCCAGGGGCCCCGGGTGCTGGAGCTCTGAGCCCACCCTTGGACACCAGCCCTGCATGGCCTCGGCCAGCCTTCTGCTCCAGCGGACTCCAAGGATGTGTGGCTCTGACCTCTCCTGCCTCCTGGAGGCTGAGCCAGGCTGCACACACAGCGGGTGCCCAGTTGCTGTGTGGGGTCAGCGGAACCCCTCCTCACACTGCTGCGGCCCTGCATTGCCCTCTGCTCTCCCGGGCCCAGCCTTCCAGGTCTCCACGGAAACTGGCCTCGGGTCTGACCACATGTCTCCCGCGCCGCTGCCCGTTAATCAGAGCCTCCAAGGGCTCCCTGCCCCCGCCGCCCGGCTCTTTCCTGGCTCTGCCTTGGCGTTCTCAAAGCCCTGGGGGTGCTTTAAAAACTCTCTGGATTCTTGTAACCCCGTTTATTTCTCTTAACGCTGGCAGCCTGACAGACTCTGGTTATTCTTAGTGCTAAATTATTTATCTCCCTTCCCCTCCTCACCCGCACTCCACGATCTTTAACATGGCTCCTGGGGCTCAGCAGAGGCCCATTTTTCCCCCACTCAAAATGAAGTGATTTTAAAATCTTTTGTCTTTAATTTTTTATCACCCAAACCAGGCATGTGGTATTTGTTTATCAAGGGGTCGCAACCCGGCCAGTCCCTGAGTCCTGGCACTCTCGGCCTCTGGCTCTGCCTTGGCCATTAGCCACTTCGGGGCCCTGAGTGACAGGAAGTCACTGGCCTCAGGAGGCAGGGGTGGAGGAGGAGGCTACAAACAGTACCAGCCTCAGGGCTCCCCAGATCCACTGGGACAGACCTCAGGACACAGCCCAGCCTGACACAACGGCCCTCCACCTGGAGCGCACACCTTCAAGCTGGGTGGCCTTGCCAAGTCAGCCCCTGTCCGCTGATCAGGAGGCCAGAAAGGCCAAGAGCTCAGCCAAGGGACGGATGCTGACCACACCACCTGAGGGCTCTGCTGGCCGCACGTCGCTCCCTGAAGATGACCCCAGCCCAGCGAATGACCCGACCGCCCTGGCAGGTGGGACAGACCCATCATCCCTCACTGAAGCTCAGAAACCACCTGGATCCCAGCGACTCGGGAGGCTGAGGCAGGAGGACTGCAAGTTCCAGGAGACTTTAGCGAGATCCCGTCTCTAAATGAGTCCATGGAAGGGCTGGGCTGTAGCTCAGGGTGGCACACCCCTGGGTCAAATCCCCGACTACCACAAAAGAAGAAAAAGAACCTGATGGGCAGGACCTCGGAGCCCCCTCCCTGGAACTAGGTCAGCAGCCAATCTTAGGCACAGGCCCTATCCACCTCAGGGGCCGGGCAGTCTCTTGTGGCCAGCGTGGCCAGAGCGAGGTCACACCCCTCAGCCGGAGCCATCTCCAGACAGGGAGACTCAGGCAGGACTGGCCACTCTCCCACTTTACCTGCCGATTCTCCTTCCCCGACTCAGAAGGCTCCACGTGACACTGGCCCTTTGTCCTGGGGGAGGGGATGACAGCCACACGTGGGTGCTTCAGCCTGCCAGCACCCAGCTGCCTGGTGCCCCTTCCTGCCACATGCTTCCAGCTGGCTCTGGGCCTCGCCGGCCCCAGGGTGCTGGTGCTGCAGAATGCGCTCTGCACTGCCCCCAGCCTCCAGCCGCCCCGAAGCTGCACCTCAGTTCTGTGAGAAGGGGGCGGCCCTGGACACAGACTGTGTCACCCTGCTGCCCAGCGTCCCTGGGCTCATCAGTTCACTGAGGCCCACAGTCCATGGAGCAGAGAGCCAGGCCACAGGCCACCCGGGGACTCTCTCCAGGAGTGGACGCCATAGCTGTGCCAGAGAACTGGGAGCACTCTGCCTCTGAAGGCAGAGGCGGGACCCCAGAGAGCAGCAGGGCACACGTGCCTGCCCGGTGGCCCACGGGGATGCGGGTCTCCGCCTTCCTGGGGCCCTCATCACCCCTTCCCATTTGCTGGCCCAGGAAGGACTCTCAGGGAGCTCTCTTCTCCCCGCAGGCCTGATGGGACCACAGCAGAGCTGGTGGCAGACGCATACCCAGGTAGGCAGTTGTGGTGGCCCACGGTCAGGCCCATGGCCATTCGTCCACATCTGGAGAGGCGGGCAGGAGCACAACAGGCACCCCAGCCAGCCAGCCAGCCTGCTCACAGTGGACGCTGGGGCTGCCGGCAGTGTGGGGTGTGGACCCCAGGCCCTGGGCCTGGGAGACGGAGCCCGGATGGGGAGGGGTCCGGGCTGCTGGAGGGTCGGGCGCTTGGGCCCAGGAGGATTGGAAGGTGGGGAGAATGTTCCAGAAGGGAAGAGAGCCACCGTGGGAGCCATCTGGCCATCACAGAGGGGGCTGCCATGGCGGTGGCCAAACTAGCAAGGGCTTCACGGCAGTGAGGCCATGCAGGCTTGGGTGGCAGGTCCAGGGAGAGCCAGGGGCTCATGTTGGGCCCCTGTGGACGGACGCCAGCTCTCCCAGCAACAAAGCTCCTCCTGCCCTCGCCCTCCTGACCCCAGAGACCTCATAGGCAGAGCCAGGGCCTGAGCAAGCGCCTGACAGAGCTCTCGGGCCCAGTGACCCCTGCAGGGCAGCTCCAGTCCTGGGCTTCTCCAGGAGCCTGGGCCGAGGCCCCAGACCCCAGACAAGCTGAATGCCTGTAGCTTCCTCAGAGGAAGAGGACACCTTCGTAGACAGGTTTTCATTCCCTGGAAGGGCTGTGGGACGGGGCAGCTGATGTCCGTCCAACTGTTTGCCTGGCCCACAAAAATGGCTGCTGCCCTGCGGCTCCAGGATTGTGGCTGGCAGCCCAGCAGGCTTCATGGCCCAGCCCCACCTCTCCAGAGTCTGGGACAGCCTGAGACATGGACTCCTCACAGATTGCTGGCAGGCCCCTGAGGTCAGCTGAGACAGGGCCACCACTCAGGCCCAGGTTCACAGCCCCCACTGTCCAGCCGCCCCAGAGGAGTGCTTAGGCTGGGAGAAGGACCAGGATTTCGGGCAGGGTCCCTCATTGCTGGACAGCAGCCCTCACGTGGTCCACTGCTGAGCCCACAGGCGGCTCTGGAGGAGCCCTGGTGTGTGCGGTTGGCTCCGGGAGGAGCACCCAGCGTGCTGGGGGTCAGCACCCTGCTCTCTCCCGTGGCGCCGCAGACCCTGGGAGAAGGATCATTTGCCTGGGACTCATTTCCAGAGCCGTGGCAGCTCCAGGGAGTGAGGGGCCACCCAGGCGCCAGGTGACACCAGACCCAGGCCTTAGCATGTGGCCACCGCCGGAGCCCCCTCCTGCCAGCCTCTTCCATCCGATGGACACGGTGCTTAGGAACGGGGTCAGATCAGGCCTGCAGCCTGGGTCCCCGGCCACTGCCCAGCTGAGCTCACCCTGGCTCCACAGCCGGCCCTGGCCGGCCGGCGCAGCTGCGTGTTCTTGGGAACGCCTAGAGACAGGCTGCTTGGGAACACCCTGGCCCGCTGGGGAGGCTGACCTGATGCTGGCCGCCCGGCTGCAGAATGTGTCCCTCCCCCCAGGCACCCCAGCCCGGCGTGCAGCCCCCAGAACCGCGGCTTCTTCTGACTCAGGGAACAGACTCCCGGCCCCTGAGCCCACTCTTTGCCCCAGGAATGTGCAGGCGTCCCCCGCCCCCGCCCGGCCGCCCAGGAGAGCTGCCCGTTTTCCAGGCCTGGCGTCTGGAATGTCGATCTGCTCTGCTCAGCTGCGGCCACATTCCTGGTGTGAGCTGGGCCAGCCTGGGGAGCCTTTTCCCTGCTCTGGTGCCAGCCCCGGCGGGCGCAAGGGAGGGGGAGAGGACCGTTTCTATGGCAACCTCCCTTTTTGTTATTTCTTATTTTCTTTTTTATGGTTTCTCCAACTTTGAAGCTCTCCAGACAGTTTACAGACTGCAGAAAGGAAAAGTCGTTTTCCTGCTCGGGAGCCCCCCAGCAGGCAGCCCCCAGGCTCCCAGAGTCCTGGATGGCCCCTTTCCCGCACCGGGCTGGGCCGGGGGTGTCTAAACCAAAGCAGACGCGCCATGCCTCAGCGGCCTGCTTCCTTCAGACATTTTAGAGGAATCAAGTAATTTTCCTCCTGAAAAAAGCAGGGAAATGTTCCCAGGAGAATCGCTGAGCCACATGGCCAGTTAGCTGTGGGTGGACCCCAGGGCCAGTCGGCGGTGGGGTAGATCCGTAGGGCCAGGGCCCGAAGGCTATCCCTCATGGCCTTCTTCCAGGATCACCCACTGACCATCCAGGGCGGTGGCAGCCGCGTCCCAGGACACCTGGAGCCCCAGGTGGGCACTGGGCAGGGTCCTGAAACGAGGGTGGCAGGTGAAGATCACAGGCCGAGGGGCCTAGGACAGGGTGGGCAGGAGCCTGGGAGACCGTGTCCACCCGGGGCCCCAGGACCAGCTCCACCCATTCCTTGTAGGGGAGTATGTGATGATGATCGATGACGTGACCACCCCTCCCTTCCTGGGCCGCACACTGCCCACTGCCTTCAAACACCTGCGGGTCTTGGCCAAGGGGACTGGCCAGAAGCCCCAAGACCCTGAAGAAGGCGTCAGATCCTGAAGCCGGAGGCAGCTCCGTGACACACCTAAGAGCGCAGCACCTCAGAGGCCACCTTCGTCTGGAAGGCAAGTTCCTGCTGCCTCCCCAGGAGCCCATGTCCCATGTCCCCGAGAGGCCTGAGCAGCCTGGGTGTGCAGGGCTGCCCACAGGAGTCCCGTGGCCACTGGCTTCAATAAAGCACTCCACACCAGCTCCTGAGTGGCACGTGCATGGCCCTCCCAGGTGCCCATGTGGGTGGGGCTGGCCAGCACCGAGCTGGGAAGTCAGAGAGGTCCCACAGGACAAGTGGGGTCACTTCTGCACCCCGTAACTGGGGCCCTTGCTGCTTGGCCAATGCCCTTTGAGGCCTGCACATCTGCCCCATCCAGGCCATGCCCAGGCCAGAAGCCTGCATTCGAATTCTCTGCCAGCTCAGGCTGGGGACAGGGGTGGCCCAGCTGCCTCTGCCAGGCACTGCCCACCCATGCCAGGTCAGGCTGCAGCAGCAGGCAGTGTGTCTGGGCACCACCTGCCGCAGTGGTAAAGGAGGGTCGTCCAGGGGTTTCACTGCTGCCCCTGAAGGGCATGTTGGCCACTCGGTCTACCTGGATGACCCCTGCAAGGGCCTCCTGGCTTGGCCGTGCCCTCCCGGACTCCGTGCAGGCCCTCTGCGCTGGCCCTCTGTGCACTGCCTCACCGTCTCAGCCTGATGCGTGCTCTCCTGGTCATTGCGGCAGCCCGCTGCTCAGCTGGCCATGCACCACCTCCCCCGGGAGGAGTAGGCCACGGCGGGGGCCATCCAAACCCAGCTCCTGCCAGCTCTCTGCTAGGTGGCCATCCATCCCCAGCCACAGCCCCCTGTCCTACCCCAACAATTGTCCCCTGTGCCCACAAGGGGCAGGATGCTGCCCTGGGCCGTGCTCTCCTGCCCCCACACCTGCCTCCACCTGCCTGCACAGCAGCCTGGAGAGGCACAGCACCCCGTGGCTCTGGGGTGAGCAGAGCTGAGCCCCAGGTGCACACGCCCCCACGGGGAGCAGGGCAGGCAGCCCTTCTCCACGCCTTCCAAAGCCCAGGGCAGTGCCCCAGGGCAAGGCTGCATTTCCAACCTTGGGCCACCCACAGGCCATAGCCCCTCTCCTCCTCGGCATCGGGCTCCCGTGCCTGGCCCTGGGCACCGGCCACCAGCCTCCTCAGACTCCCTGGCACCTGGGCTGCACCCACCTGGCCATCTGCCTCCGAGGAACCAGGAGGGCCAGGAGGTGGGGAGCAGTGTGGGTGACTCGGGGCCACACCCGCCAACCCCCACGTGACTGCCCTGGGCACCCTCGGCCCGGCCTCCCCTCAGACACAGCGAGAGGTGCTCTGCAGCTGTTCTTTTCTGCTTCAAGATGAAACCACATTTCTGTCCAAAGAAAAACAAAGAAAATGATGTTTCAATTTAGGAAGGAAAAATTGCTGGGAACGGCAGCAGCTGCTGCGTCCAGCGTGTGGAGAGCGTCCTTTGGTATTTAATTCCCCAAAAGCATGCGTGGTTTTTAAAGTCACAAACCCACGGCTGGGAACTCAGAGCCACTGCTCCACCCCGAGGCACGGGGGCGGGTCTGCGCCTCCAGAGGGCTCCTCTGGGAACCAGAGGCCAGTCCCGGTCCTGCAGGCTCAGGCAGGCGGCTCTGCAGGACGGAGGCCCTCTACACCTCCTCCTTCCCAGGGCCAGCAGCGACCCGAACCTGCCTGTGGGCCTCAGAGCATGGGGGGCTCAGGCAGGACACTCGGTCCTCTGCCCCTGGGCTTCCTGGCAGGGCCTGAGGGCCCTAGACTGTACCCAGGGCCTCCTGGTCCCAGCCTGGAGCAACAGAGGTGGCTGTTCACTGCCAGGTTGTCCTCTGGTTGTCCCTCAACCCCTGCCAAAGAGATCCCAGTGACGGCAGCAGAAGGTGGCCGTGGACGGGCTCTGCCTCTTCCAGATAGATCCAACTCTGGGCCTGGCCAGCACCACCAGGGGGCCAGAAGACCACGTCCACCTCAGCCCCACCTTGAAACTTCCCCACAAACTAAATATATGCAAAATTTCAATTCTCCGACAATAGAAGAGGCCAGTGGAGAAGGGCTCTGTCCCGGACGCAGAAGGTGAGGGAGAACAGCGGGGTCCGCAAGGGGGCCAAGAGGGGCAGGGTCCAGCCCCAGCTGTGGTGGTGGTGGTGGTGGTGGTGGACCAGGAAGCCGTGCAGCTCAGGGTCCCTCCCACCCAGGTCTGCAGCATGCCCCCAGGAGAGGGCAGGGCTCCCTGGGGCCGGCCCAGCCAGCAGCGCAGGCCCCAGGGACTCGGGGAGGCAGCCAGGGTCCCCTCTTGTCCAGGCAACCTCCTGGGCAGTTCGGAGGTCTGGCAGCTCATCTGGAGGGCCCTTCGCTGTCCTGGGGTTTGTGGGGATGGTGCATTCTCGCCCACAGGCCGTCAGCTGGTGGGCCCACTCAGGAGTCCGCCTGGCCCACCCGATGGGAGCCACTCTCCCACGGCCCACCCCCACAGTGGCCAGAACTAGCAACTGAGTGCTTAGCCTAGGACAGGGCCAGGCAGGAGGACCATGTCCAGGGGGAGGACCGTGTCCAGGAGGAGGACCGTGTCCAGGAGGAGGACCGTGTCCTGGGGAGGACCATGGTGTCCAGGGTGTGGCCTTTCACAGCTGCCCTCTGGTTCTGGCCCATCTTGGTCTGAGCACTGATTCCTGGGGAGCCAGGCCCGGCCTGACATAGCTCCCGTCTCACCCCAGGTGGCCCGGGGTGGCCCAGGTGGCAGTCAGCCTGCCAGCAGAGCTGGATGGGAGCTGATGGTACTTACTCGGCCGGCCCTAGGCTGCTGGGGGTGAGCATGAGGTGGGCCCAGGGGCGGGTGCAGGCCCAGGGGCGGGTGCAGGCAGGGCCTCTGGGTGCCTCCCCTGGGAACCGGGACGGGGTGGGCGTGAGGCTGGCTACCCCAGAGATATGAGTTGACCTTTGTACCCCCAGAACACCCCAAGGAGCTCTTGCCCCAGGAGGCTCTTGGGCAGGGGATCCAGTTCCCAGGCTCTGTTGAGTCCTCCCCTGAGCCCCTCTCCTGATTTGTGACCCCCCCCCCCAGGGAGGGGAACACTGCCCCTTCACTGGACCCCTTAATAATATGCATTGATAGGAAGGAAGGAGCGTCCTCTGTGGTCTCTGTGGGGAGGGTAATGACAGACTGACCAAGGGAGAGGGACTCGGAGGGAGGGAGGGAGGGGTGCCTGCCCCCCCGCCCAACCCTGCTCCCAGCAAGGCCTCAGCCAGTGCAGCCTGCAGACCACGAGACGTACAGGGGGTCAGCAGAGGACAGCATGAGCAGGCCGCAGCCCAGGACAGGAGCTGGACAGGTCTGTCTAGTCCCTGCCACCTTCTTATTGGGCCACCTGGCACAGGAGGCTCCTCCCAGCCTCTGCTGCTGGCCAGAATGGTCACTCAGGACACTCCCGGGGGAGGCCTCCCGGAGCCCTGTCTGCAGCCCGGGCAGCCTGCCTGGTCTCAGTGCCAGGCAGGAGATGAGGCCAGCTGTGTGGAGCCTGGGCGCCTCCCAGGCAGGGCTTCCTGGAGGGTGCCCAGCCTGCCAGACTGGTTCCTGAGCAGCCTGGCCGGCCCCTGCCAGCCCACTGCCTGCCTGGGAGCCCGCCGTCCTAGGGCCGTGTTGTGGGCAGCCACCAGGCCTGTCTCAGCATGACCCCTGGCCAGCAAACGACTCTCCGGTGACAGGAGCTGCCCGGCCCCTGCCCCTTCCCGCTCCCGTCTCTTGAGGGCAGGGAGAGCCACCCAGAGCTGAGGGGGGAGACCCTGGGGAGCACTGCCAAGAGGGACATGAAGGCCAGGAAGCCCTAGGAGGTGGGAAGAGGCTGCCTGTGGCCCCTGGTGGCCCTGGGCTGAGGCCCCAGACCCAGGACTAGAGGCCCTCAGCATGCCTTGGGAAGCCCTGTTGGGACCTGGGGACAGTAGGAAGGAGGGGCCAGGTGGCAACCCACATCCATCAGAGTGGCGCCTTCTGAGCTTCTCTTGGCATGGGGACTCAGGTCTCTGAGGAGTAGACAGGCTGACCTTTGTCATGGCCAAGGATAAAGACCATAAATAAGGCTGCCCCTGGTCAGCTGGACAGCCCCAGCAAGGCCTAGCCAGTTGTGACTCTCAGGGGGACAGTGCCAATCCTGAGGACAATCTGCATTGATTGGAAGGAACACTTCCTCCTGCAGGTACCTTCACCCCAACCCTGGACAGGGGAGCCCCCGAGTAATACATCTCCAGAACCCCACTGGGGTGGGCCTGAGTGTGAGGGAGCCCCTCAGGGCCACCTGCCCACTGAGACCCCAGCCACCAGGGCAAGCGGCAGGCCTCGGGTGCACAGGAGAGGCCGGCCTGGTCCCCAGGCCTCCCTGGATCCTGGGCCCGCAGCAGGGATGGGCCCCAACACAGGGTCCTGGCACCTCTGGCTCCCGGGCACGGTCCACTTGCTCAGTGCCAACAGGGGAAGCCAGGACCCAGCCCTGGCTGGACCGACTCTGGGCGGCTGGCTCCCTACTGCCCGGCCTGTGGCTGCCCCTAGGAAGCCTCCCCCGGGAACCCGCAGCCTTGGCTCTCGCCAAGGTGGTAGAACCAGGCTGTCCAGGCCCAGGCCGGCTCCGTGCCCTGCCATCCTGACCTGGCATGGGTGGGCCTGGCCCTCACGTCCGCCTGGCTTCTGAAGCCCAGGCTGCCCCTCCTGGGTCTCATCAGCTACACTAACCTCGACTGGGGATCTGTGGAGGGTGTCACCGTAGCCCTCACTCGGGGACAGTTAGGCCCTGGCCAGAGGGGAGGGAGTTCAGCCTGGAGCTGGGGCAGTAACGAAAAGAGGTCCCCAGGAGGGGAGGAGCGGTCCAGGCCGTGGGGGCTGGGGTCTCAGTGGGCGGTGGGCCAAGGATGGCCCCGAGGGGAGACGCAAGCTGTGGGTACAGGGGACAGGTATGCGGGTATCATGGGCTCACCTC